AGAAACATACAAGTACGCACTGTAATATGTGTATTGCGAGAAAACACGACACTGTCTAGCCGAAGGGAAACCTTTGCCGCAAGGATTTCACTTAACACGGTTGTTCCTGCGCACGGTTATATCTGTATATTAATATATTATAACGTCATACAATGTCTATATACCGTAGTATATCGATGAGAAGTTGAACTGTACGAATACTTCACAATAGTCCTCTAAATTGTTATCTATTTAAATATTCTAAATTTATGGGCCACTGTTAGTTGGCTAATGTAATTGGAATGTAAAAATATAGTGACAAACTTTCCCGTCTATCGATCATTTATGCTCCTGGGTTATACCTACTTGGCCGCCGTCTCGCACGTTTACTAAAACCTCTTTACACGTAACGTGGGCAGGTAACTGCGAGCCATTGTGAAAATAAGGGAGCAGCAGCTTTTGTGTTTACCTAGCTGTTACCATATACCTAATATACCTATAACATCGAGAACGTTCCGGTGCGACAAACAGTTATTGGATTTCCGGATAATTATAAATGACCCGGAGGCAATTAACGCTAAACATACCGACAATTTTTTATAAATGTATTATTGGCTTTAAAAGGGTCAAATGACCCGTCAATGGTACTTTTAGTGTTAAAATAATAAAACTTTTATACTATTTTATATATATCCATTTTTTTGTACACTGCCCCACAAAAGTATTCGAACGGTAGCGTAAGTAAAAATTTAAGCTTGATCTCTAAATGATAAAATGCAATTTGGTGAAAGCGCTACGAGCCTGTAAGAGATTCCTCGCTGAATTAACTAACTTTAACAACAAATATTTTTGTTCATGTAGGTGCTTGAACAATTTCATGAGGCAGTGTATAACTATACCACATTTGTAACCATTACACTTGAAAATGATTCCGTATTACATACTGTACTCTCAGCAATTAGTCACTAGTAGATATACGTGTACTGTGGCACTAAGTATCATGCATTCATAGTTGATAGATCTCTACACGGTGTATACGTAATAATAAATAGAATCAAAAGGAGGCGTAGGCGCCGAGTACGGTGGCCGACGCGTGTAATAGATCGGCAAGACATATCGCATATGCCTTTTATCGCTTTACCGTTTAGCATATGCAGCATTGGATATACATACATAGGATGCAGATGCATATCATATGCATGTATATACATATATAGCGTCCAAAACGCACGATAGATTATCGTCAGTTCCGTTACGTCCCCGATTGGCCGAGATTCTCTTCAGTTTCCTTTCCTCTTCAATTTCTCACCTTATCGTCTATACCTTTCAACTATTTTATCTATCAAGCCATCTTCAAATACATTCTATTATTTTAATTTTTATATATTCTTTTGGATTATCTCTAGACTCTTTTCGCGGGAATTTATTAGGAGGAAAATTTGGTTTAACTTTAAAATTCCACTTTCAAGGAATTTCAATCGAGTTTTCTTTCAATGCGCTTTGTATACAAGGTACATGCGAAACTGTCTGGTCGGCCTCGAGATGAGCAATTCAGTATACTAAGTAATCGGACGCCTTTCGGCTCCTCGAATTACGTGGTCAGTTGCACCGAACGTTATTTTTTATTCTTAATTAATCTACTGTGATAAAGTCTCGGATACGTCGCACAACGTGTCGTATAGTGAACTAATCTTCGTTTTCTATACGATGGATTGATGTCTGCAATTTTTTATTTGACGGTGACGAAGATACTTCCTAGAAATACAAGGAGATCTGGTCGTCCTTGACGACGTGCTTACTTAGCCTCTCCTCTCGGACGATTAAAAATGTTTAATTAATAATTTACTGAAAGTATACATCCGCTCGGTGATAACTTTTTCTGTGATTAAAGAGTTTAGATGGTACATATATGGGACGAACGAAAAAGAGGAAACTCATAAAAAAGGAAACGCTGTGTAATTCCTACGGTATTCAGGCAGTTAATCGCCTCGGGCGAAATATCTTCCTGTAGACATCTGTTTCTCTTACCGGATATACTGGAATCCATAATGCAGTACACTTCAGCATCGAATGCAACTGCAATTGCACCTGCAACCTACGTACTCTACACCCTGAAGATATACTTTTTCTGATACGTTGACTAAGTTAGCTAATCGTGAGTCAATACTATTTTTCCGTTTATTATTATTATTATTATTATTTTTACGAATAACGTCGTAGTGGTTATCATAAAAATAGAAGCGGGTTTACAAAACTGATAAATTACCAAAATTAATTCTCATGGGAATTTGCGTCTGTTAACTGTGTTAAGCAATCCTCTGTTTGGCAATAGCATGGAATAAGGCAAAGTCTATTGACAGCGGGTAGTACTTGGTGGTATATAGGTATGTCGTAAAAAATGGTAAAGGCTACGACATCAGCACGTATACGACGTGTCGTAAGATGTCAACTCGATTCGTATGCAAAGTATTACGTCTAGTTGGTACTACGTGGTGGTCCGTACTGCTGTAAAACGCAACGGATTTTATCCCATGGTTCTAACGGAATTTCCTATACCGCAGTACACTATGGATGTTTATACGGCAGCATACGGTAGATGGGAACGCATGGTGCATTTAATTTAAAGGCCAAATCACTGCTCGTGGCATTACTCTTTAATCGGTTATTTGAAAAGTCTCTTTTTCTCAGGACCTATAATAGAGCGTTGGTCACGTGGTAATACTGGAGTGGCCGTCAAGGAGACGCGAAATTCAAATTTAAAGAAAAATTAATTTTTACCCTACAAATAAAATATAAAAAAAAATATTTACAGTACGGTGAAAGAGAATATAGTAAAGGGAAATGGTAATAGTGCCAATATAAAGACTGGTGTCTCTATTGTTAACTCATTCTGCTAGTGGATTTATCCTTTATTGGATCAGACGCGCGTTTAGTAAAGGGTTGCCAGGATAGGTCAACTTCCCACGCGAGTATTCGCCTTCGCTGGTCTTCCTGTGTTTACTATATCGAGGTTTTATGCTTCAAACCTCTTCTTCTGGTAATTATCGATGCATTGTCGTTATTATTATCCATTGAGCATTCACTTCCACGTGTACGGACATAACTCGTGTTGGTTTTTTTTTTTTTTTCCGTTATTTTACCCTTCCACTTTAGTTTAGTCCATTGTCATTAAGAAGCTCAAACTCTTTCAAGACTTTGTATTTGGCTTCTACCTCGTTTATTCATTTCGCTGTACCATTATTCCGACTGGCAATGTGTTTAGTGACCTACTCCACTAAACTGAGTCTTATATAGTCGTTCCTAGTAAAGTCAACATTTTACCCAAGTTGCATATTACGAAAGGAAGTTGAAAAAATAGTAATAAATAAAAATTGATGGCTCTTCTTAAAAGATGGAATGACAGTTACAGTAAAGAGTCAACAAATCTGTACGTTTATTGGTTTCTTTTGTGGCCACACTGTAACAATAATAAAATTGCGATTTTGAATCGAAGTCTGCCTATGGCTCTGGTCATTTTGCTCTACCTGGTCAGTCTGATACTTCCGTAAACGAATTTCTTCAAAGCGATTTTGAATTTTAGAAAAGTATCGGGCAGTCCACGTGGAATAAATTGATCTGGACGATACGCAGATTTCAATAAGAGGGAAAATCAATGCAAAGATTTGATTAATACTCGATTGAGACGAGAAGTACTCAAGTACTTTGTAGCACAACTGATCACTGAGTCCAAAGAGATGTGCGTAGACTGTTCTGAGACATCTTTAAAATTTAAACATTTTTTCTCGGGGTGATAGGGGGGACATTTTTTTATGACTAGGCGTCACATCCAAATACAGTGGAACTTCGATAACTCGAACCTTAAACTCAGCTTATCAGGGTTTTTCTAGTTATAAAGGTGAAGATTAAAAAAAATTGGAAGATTCATCGTCTCATAGAGTTTTTTACTTGTGGAAGTCGAGTTAACAAAGTTCCACTGTAATGATAGTGGTAGAGCAATAGTAGTTTGCCATAATAATTGAACTCCTATATGCATAAGAAATTTTCATTGAGGTATAAGTAAGACATGATGTTAGTAAGGTTCGAGTATATTTAAGCGTCTGCCTCCTGTACGATAAGTGACTCACTGTCAATAGTCGGCGTATCCTGTCAGGCACGTGCTTGGCATATGCGAAATTTACACAGTGATTCTTTTTTGTCTCTTACTTCATCAACTCGGGTTATGCTACATCCTTTTCACTTGTACAAGCATAGAATGAAGAATCCACAATAGCTGTTTCCATGAATGAATGATTAATGAATAATAGTGATAAATGAATCTAAATAAGAAAAACTAAGAAAAGGATACCGAATGTTTGTCAGATACAACCGAACTCAGAAACGGACTAAAATCCATGAGTCTCAAAATGGCAAACAAGTGGGAGAATATCATGTCTTGATAATAGAGAATATCTTTTTGGTCTTAAAAAGTCAACATTAATCGGATTCATCCGAATTTCGTAGTTAACGATGGAATTCTTATTTATAATAATTTTTTTTTGTAACGATAATTTCTGAGCCGATTGTAATAATTTGATGATTAATTAAATGATCGTAGGAGTTCATAGGGACAGTTTTAAAACAGGAATTCGTACAGCAATGCTGCCATATTGTATAACTTTCCATAGGCATTCCGGTAATACTATTGACTACTAAATTTGCCTACTAGATCTGTATCTATAGTCAAAGACTTTAAATTAACTCTGCGCCACATACTGTATCGCGTATCTCATTAATCTTTGTACTAATTGATTAATCGGACTTCCAGCAGTTGCGCGACTTGCCTAACCGCAATGCGCCACCGATTCTCGCCAATCAGCGCAACCGAACTTAGTAAGCCTGTTTTCTATTGTTCCTTGACTTTTATAAAATTCCAAATGCGTAGCTTTGTATCTTATTGGGATTGCTCTAATTCAATGCTCACGTCCAATTGACTATGACTGATTTTGCGCAATACTCTTATTTTATGTTTTTGCTCTGTGCAGGTCTGACAAAAAAAGGCCTAATAGTCGTGAAGAAAATGGAAGAACGTCGCAGCGAATGGCCGTCGAATCGCGTTAACGGTGCGAATCTGGGCCCATCAAGAATCCCAAAGTAAGTACCCTTTTCTGTGTATATAAATATATATATTATAGTAGCTGTGCTCATACCGAAGATGAACTTATCGTGCAGTTAATGATGGAATATGATAAACGACCTGAAGGAAACGAAAATTTGATAATCGCGAGAAAGCGCTGGGTTTCACTTTGCGAGTTCGACTCGGTTCGTTTGCATTGAGCGACAAACATTTTCCCGCCCCGATAAGCAGCGACCGCGTTAAACTGAAACACGCGAAGCTGTGTGTACGTATATACATATAATGGCGCCCGTTTAATGATAACGGAAGTAACGCGACTATTTTATCGGTGGATTATTATTGCAATCTCACCGTTATATACAGTGCATGCACATGTAATACGGGGAATGCATGTTGTACAGTATGGTGCATGATTGTTGACGAACTTTAAGCATTACTTATAGGATGCATTGCTATTATCTTTTGTAACGCACTATAAACAAAAAACAAAGTCATTCTTACAGACTCTTTTAACAGCTGTCAAACATATTTGCCAAATTATTCATATCTCATGGCAACGCCTGTCGTTAAGTTTGCATCTAGTGGAAAATCTGGTACTTGTAAACAAAAGTACGTGATTGAAAGCAGAATGATTGCAGAATAGACCCACAGGAATTTCCATATCCATAATCAATTCTATTGGTGACAATGGTGTTTATTAGTTTTGTTTCTAATTTTTTTTCATCGTTTAATTGCTCCCCTTTAATTTTTATCAATCGTTAATCACAATGAGACTTAATACCTTATTTACAAAAACAAAAGCCTTTATTAATCCACGTCAGATTTACCTGATACTTCTACAGTTTCCGATTAAAATCCAGCCGGTGAACTGAATGAATCAAAACCCAATATCCTGTAAGATTTATTTAGTAGTAAATATTCGATTATAATTCCATATATGTTTCCTTAAAATGTATTATTTAATCTTACAAACAATTTCCATAACGCGTAATAGAAAATAATGAAGATTATAGTAAATTTTGTACTAGTCGACTTTGAGGATTCCTAATTGGCTGTCGATTCTCATCTGATAAGAAGAAGGATCCGATTCGTGCAAGAACCTTCCGACCTACTTGTCACACTAGGCTCCTCGTATGCTAATGCATAACGTAGGTGCACACGTCTCTTCGAATACACAAACACACATGTTTCTCGTACGACGGGTAATGCTAGATATACGCTTCAGTAGTGGCCGAGCAGTAAACTCAAAGTAACACGCTTACCCATGAGCCTCCAGAATCGCCTCCTTCTATTATGTTAATTCGCCATTGTCTAGTCCTACCGAGTGAAATATTCCTTTTGGTCAAGTCCGATGCTAACCGACATTGCTAAGCAAACCAATGTTTTCATGTACTATAACCCTATATAGCAACGGTAACACAGCAGTGCACAGTAATTCTCCAATGAGTTCAATAGCGAATAAAGTTAATGGGAATAATAATTTTGTATTACAGCTGCCTCGTAGCAGTGACTTTGATCTTTCCTCAAATGACTATTTAGCTATGTATTTTTTACTCAAATATAGTCTGAATAATAGTCATTAGATTGCATTAATGTATATAGTGTCTACCTCATTGATTTTCTATTGTAAATACGTTATAGTAGTGTCTTATAATTTGTTCCAAGTTCTTATTGAACTATGTGTACTTTATTTTAAATAATACTTTTTTTTAACAACAACCTTAGTAATATGATATAATTGTACGTCACTAAGAAGATGTTGAAAGCATTAAGCTCGAGATATAGTGAATTTACTAGGGCGTCGATGCTTTATGTGTACTATATATATATATGTTCACTATGCAACTATATTTCTAACGTGTATATTTCGTTCCTGGCGAACAGTCGCTCGTAGAACGCCGCAGTGGAAACGGTACGCGCTCTCCGGAAGCAAAGCCGGCATTAGTGTTTCTGCAATCAATAGTGATTGGTATTCTCGTGCAGGTGGTAGTCTCTTGGGACCCTGTCGAGGTAACAGTCGGGGCCTTATAATTTCTTTGAACTATTTGCATTTAAGTGAAAATTATAAGCTTTCATTAGCATCGACGTAGTAGATCAAGGATATCGCGCAGACGTAAGTGGCGGGAAATTCAAAAGTTCTTGCCCAAACAAAATTTGTCATAGTAGAGCATACGGCCGTATTCGGCGCTATCGGGGCCCGCTCTGTGTTATCCACCGATCTGTAATCGTGCGACGCCCCCGGGAAAGGGGGCAATTGTGAAGAGGTGAAATCCGCCGTTCCGTATCACCACTCCCACTTAATAATCCCGTGTGCACTCGGCTTAATTGCAATGCGCTTGTTATGTCGTTGAGGTTGGGCCCCATGGGGCATCTGGTCCCCACGTTACCTATAGGGGAAACGACATTTCCGCGTGCAGATCAAGTTTGGCCAACTCAGTGTCAGGTAGTGTGCATACCTACTGTCAATTTTTATTTTCCCTTCTCGTTTTTTTTTCTTTTTTCGTCAAAATCGAAATTCTTGAAATTCTAACGAGAACACGTGCAAAATGGGTCCAGTGGATTAAGCCACGACAAAGCCATGGTCAGATTGCTCAGAAATGCTTCAATTTTTGCTGTGCTGCAGTCTCGCGTGCCATTCCGTATAATTATACAATAGTTGGTTCTACCGCAGTCCTTACTTCCATTATCTATAGTCTGTTTTCTCTATCTTCTCCTGTACATTGTACCTTCTATCGCCCCTGTCAGTCTGCCATTAATGACTCCCATCGTGTCAGTGCCGCGTGTATTACTGGTATTACTTTGGGATTGTTCGCAATGGGAAAAGCTAAATAACCTTCCGTCCTATTATTAATTATTTTCCTCTCGCTGATTGAACTGACAATAATAGTTAATTATCCACGGTAGTCAGGACCAATTCATGGCCTATGAGAAATCGGTACTAACCGATTCGCAAGTTTGCTTCTCCTGTAGAGTGACTTATCGATCTGTGTGATCTAAGGAGCGATAGATAATTTACTGATTGCACGGTTTAACATGATCGATGACGCTTGAATTAATTCTTTTTTTTTTCAAATGTTTTTCTTCTAAGTTTCTTTTTGATTTCTTAGCCTCTCTTCTCTTCTTGTAAAGTCGCTACAATCTTTTTGTCGATTCGCCGATTTGCTAACTTGTCGAATCACCAATAGATTTTCTGCCGGATCAAACTGTCGAGATATCAAACGTCATGAGAGCGATTCTTTGTCTTAGGTATTAAATTCTGATACTGTTTAGTATAACAGCTAAGCTGAGATCATTTACCACTGTCATTGCGTTCGTTGTTCAATTAGCGGCACGTACTAATTCCCTGCCTTTTTTTAGGGATATTACGTCTTCGATGACTTTGGCACGCGAGATAGTTAATATTTTTTAATAGGGTTTCTAGCGTGACAGATAATTGACATTTTTATTTCATTTTTTTCTTATAATTTCTTTTGTTAAGAACATTTGTTTGCAAAATTTTACGTCGAAGGTTACGCGAGCAATGTCGGATACGTGGGCGCTGAGCTTCTTGGAATTTTAAATTTAAATTCTTTTACAAATTCCACCGTGGAGATTTTTGTGATTGTTTCAGTGTAATTTTACATTTTTTCCCCATGTTTCTTGTGGTCTTTGTTTTTTTTTAGTTTTGACCCTTTAAGGACTGTCCATCTTTAGAGCACTCCCGAGGAGTGACTCTTGCCGTCTCGACTCTTTTGCCGTCGCCGGAATTTCGACGCCGAGAATAGATTAGTCGCGCGGTGCTTCCTTTCGGATTTTTGGGTCTTACCACTTTTTGCCCTCGACAGAACGACGCCTGGCGTCGCGGTCGTCGGCTAGCGCGGCGTCTCGTACGATATTCAGACGAACCTAGAGCGTCGTGCGTCTCGCTGTTACTTGACGAACGTCTCCCGCACTTTTCAAAATTAATTTCATAATACAAAATGATTGAATTTTAATGAGAAATTATTTTAAAAAATTTCGGAATACAATTCCTTAATGTCCGTCAAAAAGAATGAATTATTCACGCGAATAACGGTATAAACATAAAGTACAATCAAAAATACAAATTTTCTGGAAAACTATACTGTTGCGCATTATGCAAGATTTCAACCTACTCAAAAAGCTGTTCTCATCAAGTTGAGCGATATTCAGAAAGTGATAAATACTCAAAGTGGGTCAGACGAAGTTTCTTCTAGTACCTAACTAAAGACGCGTCATTTTCACCGGTGATCGTTACGAGCCACGTGTGTTTGTGAAACTGTGGTAAAGCAAATACATCTCAAGGTAAAAATTTATTATTGTGAACCTGCCTGAATGATTCTCGGTACAATCTTTCGAATTTCTCTATAGTCGTATCGATACGGGTAAGTCTTTTGAATATATTTAATTCATGGAAAATAGTAGCGGTAGATGCGATGAGGGTTCGATACCAGGTGACTAACAAAGCGGAACGAGCATCTAGCAGGTATTTTGTTAGAATAAAAAATATAAATTTATTGATCGCCAATAATTATACGCGTGTAAGGATTTAATCGAAGATTCTCGATCGATTCGATCGAAAATAGTCGATTGGGTGTTGCCGATACCTTCTCGACTTATCCGAGCTGAAAGTTCAGTACGCGCTGCCTGCTACGTGTAATACTCGTTCTCGTCGCAACGCCTTCGAGAAAGTGGCGCCTGCCGTCGCATACGATCGTTAGCATGAGAATTGCCCGATAACAACGATCTCCTTGGAAACACACCCTTATCTCGATGCTAATGGCGGGCAGTCGAGCACTCGAGAACTCTATCATTGGACATCACAAGGAGTTTGAACAAAAATTTGATAACTCGATCTTTAAGATAATAAAATGTACAGTGAAGTTGCTTTCATTAGATTTTTTTATCATTTTATCAATAATGTGAAATTCGGTTATTAAGACTTCGCTTATAACTATCGACGGCATATTGAATCCTATTTGCCCTGTTAAGTTTTGTTCTCATATAACTTTGTATGGGA